GGTATCCGCCACATCCTCGTCCTCCTCTTACATGTTACATAAGGTATTTGACCCAATAGCATTCCGCGGGCATTAAAATTGGCTCATTTTCTGACTCCTAATACAACAATTGCCCACAGGGATGCGGGCAAAGGTTACCATTGTCAGCTTGACTTGTGGGAGAGTGGGAGGAAGGTGATACCGATCTTTGAGACATTTATTTTCCTCTCAATTATGTAGCAAACTGTGGAGCTCTATTGAGCATAAAAAATTACTTGCATATAGCCTACTTCATATCTTCATCAGGCTATAAATGTTTCCAAATGATAAGTCATGTAGGAGCACATTGCAAATCAAACGTTTTCGATGGCAATTCTAGTGACAAGAGAATAACAAGTTAATTGACACACATGACAGTTTTTTTATCAAAAAAAATAAGGCGAAGCACGAAGTTGACATGCTTGCAAATGAAAGTTGTCATCCTCGCGTCACTAAATTTGCTATTGAAAACGTTTGATTTGTCATGTGCTCGTACCTGGGTGTTATGAGATTCCTAAATGTTAGCCCTGTCCTGGTTTTGCTCCAAGCGCACGACCGCTTTGCTAAGTGTATCCCTAAACATGCCGATTCCAAACTTGAGAGGAGACGGGAAGCATCATGCTCTCTTTTCTAGTTTTCTTTTTGCGGAGAATGGCAAACTCACAATTTTGAGAATTACAGAGAGTGCGTAGGGAAGGGAAGTAGTATTGTGTACGGAATGCGGAATGAATGAACCATTTTCTTCGGAGGGTGGCAATGTGAAAAACAGCAGCCGCGTTCCTCTCGGGTCTCGGGCTCGGCACACACCGCCCCGCGGGAAATGGGGCCGAACGCGTGAGCGGGAGCCGACTGCGCAAACACAGAGGCCGAACGCGTGATCCACCCCACCACGCACCACGCCCACTGCGCCGCACCTACCGACACGCGGGCCCGCAGCTCTCCATATCCCACTCCGCTGGTCCACGGAGCCAGGCACAGGGCATCGCGTCCACCACGTACGGTTCACCCGGGCCCACGCCCCCGCGCGCTGCGTGATCCACTTCCCCGCGCGGTGTCGGTGGAGCGTAGGGCCGCCTGGATGGACCCTGGTCCCGCGGGACAACAGACAAGTTGGGTCGGGGTCGGGGTCTGGGACAAGCCCACTCACCACCACCCGGCCCGGGTCGTGGATGGTCGCGTCGGCGCGGCTGATCGGGTCGCCGCCGCTCACTAATGCGGCTTGGCCTACCTGCCCCGGCGGCCGTCGTGACTGTTCGTCGGTCGCCTGTGCGTTGAGGCGCACCAGACTGCTCGCGACTTGGACTTCCAAGCTGCCTGTCTGTGTCTAGTATACTAGATTCGCCTGATCCGAAATGTCTTTGGCCATCTCTAGAATCCGCTCGCTGATTGGTGCTCCATCGTGAACGAATTCTTCCATTCCGTGCCTCGCAAAAGTTCATGTATGTCCTTTTTGCAATTATCATAGGCGTTTGTTCTTTCATCATCTCGTAACAGGTGAACGGTCGATTCAGTCCGGAAAAGGCGTCGCCGTGGCCGTGTGAGCAGGGAACCCCCCAGATCTGAAGAAACTCGCTAGCTAGCCACCGGGACCCGATCGGTCCGCAGAGACCTTGCTAGCTAAGTTAGCGCCACGATGCTGCACTGCACGTACTAGATGAGATCGATCGATCCATCCGGGAAAGGTAAATTAAAAGCAAGCTTTGCAAGGAATCAACCAGCACGAGGCCCCAACAGAGGGGAGCATCTAGCGAGCTGCCCGATCTTGCCTGTCAAATTCACCGTCACCCTGCATGGTGGAGCCAGCAGCAATCTGACAGCCTGGGGACATTTTAGCTGCAGGCTAGAAGAAATGATAGCTGCAAGGAAATTGCTCCCAAAAACGTGCGAGGTCTCAGTTGCTTGGAACGCACTTGAATTGATTACAGGAAAAGCAAAAGGGCGTGAGGTTGCAACTGCTTGGAGCGCACTTGATTTGACTGTGGAAGTGTGAGGTTGGGCACTCTACAACCGAGCGCCGTGCTGAATTTCCTTTGACAAAGCAAGGTGGATTTACTTACCACACGTGCTTTGGATGCCTCTAAGGCCAACTCCACCATGCGACCCCACACACGTTTGTTTTGTCCGGATTCTGTCCGTTTGAGTAGAGCGATGGGGTCGTGTCCGGGTCTGCCTGGGATGCGGTGGCAGTGCGCCCAGCGCGTGGACGCATCCCGGCCGCATCATGTCCGCGTACATTTTTCTTTGCAAGTCCTTAACTTCTTTTCATCATTCATTTTCGGTACATGAAGAATACATCATCATATTTGACTAGTAAAGTAAGATCAAAGAAAATAAGAACAATAAGAATACATTTTAGAAGATACCCAACTTTCATAACTGCTCCCTTGAGTTGAGTTAGGGCCTTCTCGATACACTCATTGTTGATCTGTGGAGGAGGCTCGATCTGGCATCCTTCTTTCTTCTTCAAGCCAGAAGTCGATGTTGCTTCCTCACACCTAGTCTCGTGTCTAGCCTCTAATCTAGCAACAAGTGCACTTGTCTCATCTACAGCCTCTATGCTAACTAAAAGTGCATGAACATGTACTAAATTTCGCTCTATCAATATATCGATGTACTCTTCTTCCCAATACCAAAACTTGCATCCATGCTACACAATAAAATTTGTAGTTAGCACAACTAGTCAAAACTAGAGCACAAACCGAAGCTAAAAAGAGTACATACCCCATCATTTAAGCACTTGATGAACACCCATCCGAGATGTTCCAGCGTTGTAGACACGCGGCGCACGACCATCCTTGGGCAGTGGTCGCACTTAATGAGTGGCAACGGTGCACCGGCGAGCTTTTGGGCAAGCACCGAGCCCGACCGACCGCCATTCGTGTATCTGCCGGCGGACCACCGACGGTGCAGATCCGAGCGGTTAGAGGAGGAGCCACTGCCTGCATGTGGCCTTGCGGCCCTGCCAGGGCCTTTCGGCGAGGTGCCCGGCCAGTCCATGGCACGGCCCGACCTCCCACAACCAGGCGAGCTCAAGACCGACCGAATCCGCCCCAAATCCGGCCGGCGGGTGCGCAAACCAGGTGACCGTGGTTGGGTCAAGGGGCAGCGCCGAGGTGAAGGGGCTGGGCGAGCGTGCGTCTGAACTGCACAGCTGCAATGGCAGCGGCGGTGGCAGCGACAACGAGGGGAAGAGTGGGGAAGAGTGGAGGGGGTGCGGCCGGAGGAAGGGAGGGGGCAGATAGAAAAAGGCCTGCCCTGTGCCACCGACAGGCGGGCCAGGGGAGGACACGCACAGACGGCCCGCGCGTCCGCGTGGTGTCCGTTTCACCCCAAAAGCGGCGCAAACTTGGGCCGCGGATGGGTCAAAAGCGGACACAAAACGGACAAAAATCCGTTTGCTCCCGTGCGCTGAGCTGCCTCGTTTGTCTGTTTTACCCCAAACGGATGGGGGCGGACAGGATAGGGTCGCGCAGTGGAGTTGGCCCCCTCGAGCCTTTCTTGCCACCAGAGTGCGCGTCCATCCGATTCTGGCGCAAGAGGAAACCTGCCGATCCATGACCTGGGCATCTCCAATGCCGTGCACCAAACCGTCCCTAAATATCTAAACCGTGCGGTCCAAATATATTTTTTCATTCTAAAAATCAACCCACGTTGCTATCCAATTTGATGCCTATTTGATGCATAAGGCTAGATACAATTTGGGTGTCTGATTTAGGCCCCGTTCGGAAGTGCTCCTCCTCCGCGCTTCCCCGGAAGCAAGCGAGAAGCTGGCCGAGCTTCGACTCCGCGAAGCCAGCTTCAAGAAGTGGAGACGGCTTCCAGTGCAAATTTGAGAAGATGCCCAAG